TTCCAGCTATAGGGGCATGTGCAGGTCAGGGTGGGTAAGGTTGACCTTTGATAGGAACAGAGACCCTCCCCGCTCCACTGAGAAAGGAAGGAAGGGCAAATAAGTGTAGCTGCCTATCAATTTCTACATTTGAAATAGGAAAATAAGTGTGTTTTATTTTGAGCTGAGACCTGAAGAGGTGGAAATGTATGTTGGAGGTTTAAAGAGAAAGAAACTATAAAAGGGCTTCTTGAAGAATGGGTCATTTCCTATAGGCAAAGTAGTTGAACAGGGAAAAGAGCAAAGCTTGCTGAGCAGCCTTTGGGGTTGTTGCTGTGGTTGAAAACTATCTTTGGTATTGCCATTTGCAATGGTTTTGTGATTTTTTTTCTTTTTTTTTTCTGCAGCTCTAGAGAAGGAATAGAGTTATATAGATGATTAGTCATCCAGTCATGTAAGATTCTCACATACCTGTGACTCCTAAGTGGGAATAATTGCAACAAGACCTAGCCTTAAAAAGAATATACTGAACATAATTTGAATTTTTCTTGATTTCTGAGGTTTCCATTGTATTAGTATAATGCTCTGATTGTTCTAGGTTCAATTAAACAAGTTTGGCCAGGCTTGGTGGCTCATGTTGTGGCCCAATTACAGAATGGGGGATGAACACACAGGACATAAACATAAGACGCAGACAGACAGAGTCAGCTGCAGTCTCCAACCGTGTCCTGTCTCTGTGTACTTTATTTTCTGGGATTGCAGCCAACTGTCTGCGTCTTATGTCTATGTCCTGTGTGTTCATCCTCCGTCCTGTAATCAGGCCACGACAAGTGGCACAGTGAGCAGGGACTTGAATCCTGAGCAGGGACTGTGTCATTTCAGGATGGATGGACCTTTGGCTATTGGTAAGTGACACCCAACAGGGGACTCTCGGAAAAATGGGAAATACCCCCTTAGCCGCAGAGCATGAATATCGCAAGTTAATTCAAGGATTGTTGAGTTTGGTGGGGGTTACATTAAAACAGTTATTTGCTTTAGTGCAACAGCATTGTTACTGGTTTCAGTGTCAGTCTCAAGTACAGTTAAATCTTCATAGCTGGCAACAAGTGGTTAAAGCTTTTTGTCTTGCTCATCGGCAGGGAGACACTATTGATCTAAAGATATGGACCACTTGCAATGCAATTACCCAAGCTTTGCAGCCTTTTACAGGCAGATTCAGAGATAACTGGCTCAGATAAAGTTGATTCAGATGGAAATGCAGGGGAAGAATCTCCTCCACTGCATTCCTCATCTCCCTTAATACCTAGAGACTTGGAGGAGGAACTGCCAGATGGAGAGCCTCCAGGAAATTCCCTTGAATTACCTATGCAGTCAGAAATTTAGGAACTTACCTCTCTACTCAGGAAAAGTAATTTGGCCGCAGAGGCGGATCAGCTACTGCTCACCCCCCTGCCTTGGGGCTTATCCAGCTCAACCCTTGGCACCACTAGCAGTTTTCCTATAATCACCCAGGGGCCTGGTGATGATTTTCCACCCCCCTCCTGATTTTGCTGACAATCTTCCTCTGGTTCTTAAAACTGGAGCCACTTTCACTTTTCCTCAATCTTCAGTTTTCCCCATTACTCGGCAAGAGTTTGGCCCCGGCCAGGAGCCTAATTATCCCCAGGGTGGAGTGAATGTTGCTTATCAAACTTTGCAATACAAATTTTTAAAAGAGTTGAAACAGGCCATTCAGGCATACAGCCCACAGTCTCCTTTTGTATGTCTTACTCCCTTTAGACCGGGAGCATTTGGGAACAACGGTCTTAGAAAGTCCACAATGGCTGCAATTACGTAGCCATTGATGGGTTGAGGGAGCAAGAATACAGTCCCCCCCTCAATGCTTGGCAGCAGCCTCCTGGGCCCACTGAGGATGAGCTCCTGGGGTCAGGCCAGTATGCCACCTTGGAAGCACAGGCTGCACTGGGTGCTCCGGCCTTATCTCAGACTAAACTGATTTTTTTTAAGGGCTTGGAAAAGACTTGAAACTTCTAGTACTTTGGCACCTTCTTTTGCAAAAACTATGCAGGGTTCCGCTGAGCCATATACTGATTTTTTGTCTCGTTTGAAAGATGCTGTACAAAGAAGTGTCAGCTCTACTGAGGCGGCTTCTCTTATTATCCAATCTTTAGCTGTGGAAAATGCCAATCCAGATTGCCAAAAGATATTGCATTCTCTAAAGGCTAGCGGTGCCTCACTGGATGAGTATGTTCGAGCTTGTGCAGGTGTTGGTGGGCTGCTTATCACGCCACCTTATTAGCTGGAGCTATTCAAAAGGGAAGTAATCGGCCCACCTGTTTCAATTGTGGAAAAGTCGGACATGTGAGAGAAGAGTGCAGGTGGGGCCAGCGAGATAATGCTGGCCCTGTGTCCAGGGCATCAAGGAAACAGCCCTCAAGGTTGTGTGAGTGATGTGGGAAGGGGCCACAGTGGACTAATGAGTGTAGTTCAAAATTTGACAAGAATGGCAATCCTTTGCCACCTTTTAATGGTGGGACTTCGGGATACTTCCCGGGGGGCCCTCAGCCTCAGGGCCCCTACAACAATATGGGGCCTCAGTTTCAGCAATACCCAGTGAGGAATGGGATAGCTCATCAACTGAGCAATTCCTAAAAGTTACTCAGCTCTATGCTGCCAGCTCGGGGAGTGCAGCGGCGGAACTCTCTGTCGCTAGAACTTACACTCTAACATCCGCAGGTGGAGTTCACAGATTATCTACTCAAGTGTATGGGCCTCTTCCCGAAAGGAAGTTTGGATTAGTAATTGGCAGAAGTAGCTGTGCACTTAAAGGCATATTTATACATCTGGTAGTTATTGATCCTGATTATATTGGAGATATTCAAATCATGGTTTCTGTTTCTCATACAACTCAAATTTTTGCAGGGACTCGTATAGCTCAACTTTTGCTTTTGCCTTAATGCTCCTTTTCCTGCAAGGAATGCCAGCCACAAAGGAAGTTTTGGCAGCACAGGAACAAAGATGTTTGGGGAAACTCTTATTCAGGACTCCCAGCCTGGCCTTAACTTTACTATTGCTGGCCGTTCTTTTGAGGGCCTGATGGATACTGGGGCAGATGTTTCTGTTATTAGTCTTGCTCAATGGCCTCCCGACCCCCCAAAGGTCTTAGTCCCCACTGTTCTTTCCAGGTTAGGACAAGCTTGATGTGTCTATCGTAGCAATGATATTTTTGACTATGTGGGGTCGGAAGGCCAAACAGCTTCTTTACGGTTTTATATTACTGACATTACTGTGAACCTACGGGGGTGGGATTTGCTACATCAATTTGGAGCTTTTATGACTATTCCTCATCTTTCCCCTAATGTTAAGAATATGATGTTAAAGATGGGATTTAATCCTAATCAGCCTTCAGAAAAATCCACTTCTTTAAACTAATTGCCACTGGTCACGAGATCCCTTGAGCTCTTCCACTCCGATGGAACACAGATAGACCTGTGCGGGTTGAGCAGTGGCCTCTGACAAAAGAAAAGCTCAAGGCATTAAAGATACTAGTGGCTGAACAGCTTAATGCTGGACATATTGAACCCTCTACTTCTCCCTGGAATTCTCCTGTTGTTGTTACTAAAAAGAAATCTGGAAAATGGTAATTTCTCACAGATCTTCGAGAGATTAATAAATGTATCCAACCCATGGGTCTTTTGCAGCTTGGCCTGCCCCTGCCTTCTATGATTCCAGCTGGATGGTCTTTGATGGTTATAGATCTTAAAGATTGCTTCTTTACTATCCCTCTACAGCCTTCAGATTGTGAACATTTTGCTTTTACTATACCTGAATATAATAATGGCCGCCCCACTGAAAGATATCAGTGGCGGGTGCTTCCTCAAGGCATGCTAGCCCTACTTTGTGCCAGGAGTTTGTTGATCGCACCATAAATCCTGTCTGTATTCGGCATCCTGCTTGCTGTGCCACTTGTCGTGGTCTGATTACAGGACGGGATGAACACAGGACGTAGACATAAGACGAGACAGACAGAGTTGGCTGCAGTCTCTAACCGTGTCCCGTCTCTGTGTACTTTATTTTCTGGGACTGCAGCCGACTCTGTGTGTCTGTGTCTTATGTCTATGTCCTGTGTGTTCATCCCCCATCCTGTAATCGGGCTACGATAGGCTCATACCTGTAATTCTAGCACTTTGGGAGGCCGAGGTAAGAGGATCACTTGAGCCCAGGAGTTCTAGGTTGCAGTGAATTGTGAGATGCCACTACACTCTACCTTGTGCAACAGAGTGAGACCCTGTCTCAAAAAAAACAAAACAACAACAAAAAACAACAGGTTTTTGTTGAGTGCATACCACAATGTTAGACTCTGCTGTCATTGAAATTAAAGTTAAAATCCCTGCTCTGAGCAGTACCTGCCTGTGGTGAAAATGGCAGGTGCAGTGAGAGCAGTGTGTACCGTCCACCAGGGAAGGGTGTGAGAGGCAGCCTCTCCAGAGCGGCACGGTAGACTGGGAGCAGAGGGGAGGGTGTCCAGGGAGGCTATCAAGAAGGATAACCCAAGGGCAGTCAGTTGCCTTGGAAGTTAGAACATCCATTGTTCGAATCCATTATTTGAAAATAGTGGCTAGAGTGTCAGATCAGACCATAAAACCCCCAAATGTTTTATACTTTCAATAAGAGATATTAAAATGTAGTATTATTTTAAAACTAGAAGAATTTTTAAACATTATATTCATTTCAAACACTAGTGTTGAGAAAGCATTATTTCATTTGGTTAAGGTAGATTTCAGATTTTGTGGAGATATTTTGAGTGAATGCCTGAGTACTTTTAAAGGGAAATTACACAAATATTTTCATCTGAGTTTTTTTTATATGCATAGGTAAGACTTAAGTTTCTCTTCAAATCTAATTTGTCACATGTTTGTGAAATGGAATAAATGAAACCAAGCTTAAATATTATACTGAATTTTTATACATGTTAAAACTATTTAGTCATCTCTATTAACTACCATCTTTAATGTTCATAGGTTATTGAATCTTTGGGAATTATTATTTATAAAGCACTGGACTATGGTTTGAAGGAGAATGAGGAGAGGGAATTGAGCCCTCCCCTAGAGCAGCTCATCGATCATATGGCCAATACGGTAGAAGCCGATGGTAGCAACGATGAGGGCTATGAGGCTGCAGATGAAGGCCTGGAAGATGAAGACGATGAAAAGAGGAAAGTTTCAGCTATTCGGTCGTATAGAGATGTCATGAAGGTAAAGCAGCAGTTTATGTAGTACTTGTTTCTCACAAGAGTTATTTCATTTTTAAAAAATTGAATGATGATTCAGCATTTAATGATAGTTCTCATACCTTCAGCAGCCTGAATGTGGCCTTTTATTATTGAATTATAATTCTCAAAACATCACTTACAGATATTATATGCCCCTTATCATTGCATGCCATACATCAATTTGACTGAGCCTTATGTCTTCAGTTGACTTCTGTATTTCCTTGTTGTGGGTAAATAACAACTGTGACCTACTTATTTGCATGAAGATTCTGCATCTCAAGTATCACAGCTGATTGTTGTACTTTGTTTTCTTGACCTTCCTAAAGGTATTTGTATATAACGAAACAACAAATTTAGTGGGTCGGATTGAATTTTTATCTTTGGTTAAATTTTGCTATACTTAAAGGCCGTGATTTTTACAATGCTAAATGTACAGAGACAAAAATTAAGACAGATTTGCCAAATTAGACTCAAAAGAAATCATTTTATTTTGAGTTATTTATATATGATATTTACTAGATTTTGTAAGCAGCATTGGCAGTATATCACTTATTTTCCATCTTTTCATAAAGCACTTCAGAGACAGGAATATAGAGGAATGGTGAAGACAGTATTTTTTAGGTGTGTGGAGCACTCCTGCTCTTTACTCCTCCTGAAATGTGACATCTCTCAGGAACTCTGGAAGGGGACTATACAAGTAAAGATTTTTATGAAATTCACATATATTTTTAAATTCTTTTAAGACCTGTCATAATTCTCATTTTCAACAGCTTATGCAAGTAAAGCACCCTCATGTATATATGCAAATAGAAATTTCACATTTTATGTTTTCTAAATGTTAAGGTTTATGTTTTAGAAACATATAGACATATTTAAAGGCCATATACAACTTTCTGCAGACCACAAATGACCTGTTTGTTCTGTGGAAGACCAATGATAAATAGTGATTTAAAAAAATGAAGAATAAAAGGTTTTACATTAAGAAGCTGAACTACTTATACCTCTGAAAGTGAACTAACAGTTTTTGATGGGGTGTGTGTTTTGGGGGAGGTGGTGCACAAGGAATGGTGAAAGAGGAAAGAAACACCCACCCAACCAACAAGATCTGTAAAATCAGCCCTGGCACCAGAGTGTGACAGATGTCATAGCCAGATTGCTGTCTTACACTACAGGTTTGGAAGATGAGGGCCAGAGAGTAATTGGAATTTTAAAATTCTTATTCAATGACATTCACTATCTTAACTTTTAAAACAAAAATTCTTAGACATTTAGCAATTTGAATGGATACTTTTTATTATTTTTTAATTTCAGCTACTGTGTTTGCCTTAACTTATTGCTATCATTATATGAAAAACAAATAGTTAAAAAGATGTTTTTACTAACACTAACAAATAGTTAAAAGAAGATAAGTTTCATAGACTTGAGGAAAACTGAAGTCTACCAATTCCATTCTTAGAAATTTTTTTGGAGAATATCATACCCTCACCTCTTATTTCTTGGTTTTCATGCTAATCAAAACTAACTCATAAAATTCTCCATATCTATAACAATTTTTTTCCTATAACATATATTTTGAATGTTCATTTTATCTAAATGAAAAGAAAAATAATTGCTGAAAGTAAAGTGAAATTTTAAAGTATTATAAAAACCCATTATTCGTCACCATATAGTAACACATATGAATTTGTGGTTTGGTTAGTGGGTTTTAAACCTCAATTAGTAAATTGACTCATTGTTTATTTTGAGAACACAAGAATTAACTGAAGAAATATAACTGCTTTCTCCTTGTTGGAAATAGAAATATGAAACTAAATTTGAGTAATACAAATAATAGGATATTTAAGAACTTGGAGGCAGTGTGTTTTAAATTCTTAGTGAGCAAGAGCCTCTTTGGTGTGTAACTTTTTCCTTGGATAGTCTTTTATTCCAACTAATCTTTTACTTTGTTATGTTTTAATATGGAACATTACATTTGAAAAGTATTTTCATGTCCATTCCATTATCTGAGCCTTAGGATAACATTGTGAGGTAGTTAGGGTAGGCATTCTTATATCTGTTTTACAAATGAAAAAACGAATGCTCGAGAAGTATGTGATTTATGTGACTTGTCACCTTCATGTAACTGAGTAACTGAGAGGAAGAATCATACTAGAAGACAGAGTGGAATGCTGTCTTCAAAGTTCTAAAATAGAATCTAGAATTATTTACTCAGTGAAATATCTCAACCATAAAGGTAAAATATCTTTTCTGACAAACACAGAAAATGTAGCATTACTAGAGATAAAAAAGGATGCTTAATGATAAGAAGTTCAATTCACGAAGGAGCAATAGTAATTCTAAATTTGTATATACCTATTAATAGCCTGTAACAATAGCATCAAATAACTTTCAAATAAATAACTAAATCAAAACTAAAAGGGGAAATAGACAAACCCACAATTGTAGTGGGCGGTTTTATATACCTCTCTTGGTGTTAGTACAAATATAGAATATTTGAACAATGGGAATAACAAATCTGACTTCACATTATAGGACACATTATATGGTACCCATTCACTGCAGAGTACACATTCTTTTCAGGTATATGTGAAAAAATTAAAAATTTGACCATATTCTAGTCCATAAAAGCAAAGCAAGTCTTAACAAATTTCAAAGGGTTAAAATTATATAGGAAACGTTCTCTAACCATAGAATTAAGCCAGATATCAATAATAAAAAGATTTTATTACTTTCACAAACATTTGGAAATTAAGAAGTCACTTTTAAATGCCCTAAGATCAGAGAAGAAATCACAATGGAAATAAACTGAATGATAATGATAATGAAAGTGTAACCTTTCAAAATTTGTGACATGCTAAAGTCATGACTAGAGGGAGATTTATAGATGTCAGTGCATCTATTAGAAAAGAAGAAACACTAAAAGCAATAATAGTGAAATGTTGAAAGTTTTCCCTCTGAGATTGAGAGCAAACTATGAATGCCTGCTATCACTACTTGTATTCAACATTGTACTGGGGATCCTAAACAGTACAATCTGGTAAGAGAGAAATTAAAGTTGTAAAGACCGGAAAGGAAGAAATATAGTGATTCACAGATGTAATTACGTATTAATAGAAAATATAAAAGATCAACAGATCATCTTGATAATTAATAAGAGAATTTAGGAAGGTCACTGATACAAAGTCAATAAATAAAAATAAGTAAAAGGAAGTAGAAAATGAGGCTGGGCATGGTGGCGCACACCTGTAATCCGAGCACTCTGGGAGACCAAAGTGGAAGGATCACTTGAGCTCAGGAGTTTGAGACCAGGCTGAGAAAGAGTGAGACCCCATCTCTACTAAAAATAGAGAAAATTAGCCAGGCATGGTGGTGCATGCCTGTAGTCTGAGCTATTTGGAAGGCTGAGGCAGGAGAATCGCTTGAGCGTAAAAGTTTGAGGTTGCTGTGAGCTAGGCTGATGCCACGGCACTCTACTCAGGGCAACAGAGTGAGACTCTGCCTCAAAAAAAAAAAGTAGAAAATGAAATATAAAAATTATGTATAATATGTTTCATACACACACAAACAGCACCCCCTAAAATCAAATACTAGGAATAAATCTAACTAAAGTCATGCAAAACTTCTACGCAGAAAACTATAAAACATTATTAAAATAATTTAAAAAGAACTAAATGAGTTGAGACATACCATTTCTTCCTAAAAGATTCTTATAATCTCAGTAAAAATCTCTACAGGTTTTTCTCTAGAAACTGATGTACTCTGTTAAAATGGAAACGGAATGCAAAGGCAAGAGTAACTATGGCACTTTTAATAAGAAGGGCTACGTGGGAGAACTTTAGTGGTTATTATGACTTCTTCTAAAGCTACAGTGGTTAAGATAGTGTACACAATAGACAAATAAACCAGTGAAACAGAGCAGAAAGTCCAGAAACATATCCATGCATGAGTGGACTCAATGTATGACAAGGTAGACGCAGAGCAGTGGGGTAAGCCTCCTTACCCCGTTGTTAATAGTGCCAGGCCATGGAAAACATGTAATGGCTCCTCCCTCACACCATACTCAAAAATCAATTTGTGGTACTAGTTCCCTTTTATCATGGAGGATATGTTCTAAGACCGTCAGTGGATGCCTGAAACCATGGATAGTACTGAACCCTGTATAAACTATGTTTTTTCCTGTACATACCTGTGACAGTAAGAGGTTAACAACAATAACTAATGACAAAATAGAACAATTTAGTTACCTGAACACTGTGATACCATAATAGTTGATCTGATAACCAATAAGGCTAATAAGTGACTAATAGGCTGGGAATGTCTGCAGTGTAGGTACGCTGGACAGAGGGTTGATTCATGTTCCAGGTGGGACAGCCCAGGACAGTGTGAGATTTCACCACCCTACTCAGAATGGCATCCAGTTTAAAACTTATGACTTATTTATTACTGGAATTTTCTGTGTAATATTTTCAGACTGTGCTTGACTGCAGCCATGGAAAGGAAAACTGTGGATAAGGGGAGACTACTGTAATTATAAACTCTAATAATTGCTGTGAAGAAACTGAACAGAATGCAGTGATTAAAAAATAACAGAGGGCCAGGAGTGTAATCCTAGCACTCTGGGAGGCCAAGGTGGGAAGATCTCTTGAGCTCAAGAGTTCGAAACCTGCCTGAGCAAGAGTGAGACCCCATCTCTACCAAAAACAAAAATAACAGCCAGGCATTGTGGTGTGCATCTGTAGTCCCAGCTACACCGGAGGCTGAGGCAGGAGGATTGCTTGAGCCCAGGAGTTGGAGGTTGTAGTGAGTTACAATGATACCACTGTACTCTACTCAGGGCATCAGAGTGAGACTCTGTCTCAAAAACAACAGCAACAAAAATAGAGCAGTTAGAGGTGGAGAATGCATTTAGAAAGGACAAACAGTAAAGGCTCTTTGAGTAGGCGACATTTAAATTAACACCTGTAGGATGAGATATTAGCAAAGAGATTAGTATGTCTTAAAGAAACAAGTACAGGGTTACCAAAACAAAGTGGAGGGAAGAGCCACAAAATGGGATTGGAGAGGTAGATGAGGACTAGATGATGAGGGACTTTATAGGGCCTAGAAGAGTTTTGGTTTTAAGTCTAGCGGGAGCCACTGGCCCTGCTCTGCCTAGACACTCCTTCCTTAGATCTCTGCACGGCTCCCTCCTGTACGACCTTCAGCTCTCTGCTCCAGTGCCACCTCCTGACCACTCTTTCCAGGTGATCTCTTTCCACCACTGGCTTCATTTTCTACCTCTCATCTGCTTTATTTTTCTTAAGAGTAGATATTATTTCCAATGGGTGTGTGTGTGTGTGTGTATTTAAGGGTCTGAGATTCCCATTATAATGTTAGTTTTGAGAGTTCAGGAACTTTGACATGTTCAATATTATGTCCCATTTCTACCACAGTGCCTGGTGCATAGTTGGCACTCAGTGAATATTGTTTGAATGAATGATTGGATACTTTTAAACATGGGAGGGAAATAATCCAAATTATATTTATAAAAGATTTTGACTGTCAGGCAGAGAAGAATCTTGCAGGTGAGTGAGAGAGGAACCAGGAGTCCTCTAAAGAAAGACAGTGGTGGCTTGGACTGTGATGATGTTGGAGCAGAGAGAGAAAAGAGAGAGTTTTCAGGTGGTATATTTTGAAAGTAGAAACAGGATGTATTGATTGATGAGATATGTGTGGTGTGGGAATAGAGAAGACTCAAGGATGACTCTCAGATTTCTGATAAAGATAGCACTATTCACTGAGATGGAAAAAATAGGGGAAAGATGGAAAGAATAAGGGAAATCAGGAGTTGCATTTTGGAAACGTTAAGCTTTTGATGTGAGTGGAATGCTAAGTACACAGTTACGAGTTTTTAACATAAATGAAGGGCTGGTCTGGAATAGGAGTTGAGGAGTCATTACCCTACAGTGACATTTAGAGCTATTAGATAAGACTAGATCAACTAAAGTATCCTCCTATTCAGAAGATACCCAAAGAAGATAAAAGATTGATCCCTTAAAAACTCCAACCTTTCAATTTAACATAAAAATTTATTTGTAGGTTTCTTTTTTTTTAACCTGCATCAAGTTTTAGCATTAAGCTTGATAGATGTCTTTTATCAAAAAGATGAAATATAAATGTTGGTGAGGAGGTGGAGAAAAGGGACCCTTGTATACTGTCGGTGGGGATGTAAATTGATATAGCCATGTGTAAAACAATGTGGAGATTCCTCAAAAAACTAAAAACTACCATATGATCCAGTAATCCCACTGCTGGCTAGTATATATCTAAAAGAAAGGAAATCAGTATATTGAAGAGATATGCACTCCCATGTATATTGCAGCATTATTCACAATAGCCAAGATGTGCAATCAGCCTAAGTGTCCATCAATTAATTAATGGCTAAAGAAAATGTGATGCATATATACAATGGAAAAAGAATAGTTGTAAATTTCAAAATTGCTAAGAGTAAATTGTAAGTGTTCTCATCATAAAAAATGTATTTGAGGTGATGGATATAGCTTGAGTTAGCTTGATTTAATTCCATATTTATAAATTGTAACATCACTTTGGGGGAGGGGGAGGGGGGATAGGTATGGTCACACCTACTGGGTGTGGTCCGGTTCACACTGTTTGGAGGATGGACACGCTTGTAGCTCTGACTCAGGCAGGGGTATGTAACCTAAACATTTGTACCCCTGTAATATTCTGAGATTTTAAAAAATAACATCACTTTGTATTTCATAAATTTATACAATTATAAATTGTCAATTTACAATAAAAAAGAAAAAAAATTTATTTGTAAGGCCAGGTGCATTAGCTCACACTTGTAATCCTAGCACTTTGAGAGGAAAGGCAGGAGGATCACTTGAGGTCAGGAGTTCGAGACCAGACTGAGCAAGAGTGAGACACCGTCTCTACAAAAAATAGAAATATTAGCCAGGTATGGTGGTGCACACCTGTAGCCCCAGCTACTCACGAGGTTGAGGCAGGAGGATTGCTTGAGCCCAGGAATTTGAGGTTAAGATGAGATATGATGATGCCACTGTGCTCTAGCCAGGGCAACAGAGCAAGACTCTGTCTCAAAAATCAAATCAAATATTTGTAGAGCAAGGGGAGATAGGTTATATAAGAAGTTACACAGCCCATTCCCTTACTTTTAGAGATTACTGGAAACCCAGCAATGTTAAATAACTTGTCCAAGGTCATGTAACTGTGTTGATCAATGTGGGATAGCACCTGCTACTTCTAATTGTGTTCTCCTACCCCCATGACATCCTCTTTTTTTGTAACTGTAAAAGATGATTTTGTTGCATTTTTACTGTGTACTGTGCTCTATGCTTAAGCACTTAGAACATTATTTCCTTGGAGTTAAAAGTAATATACATTCATTTTAGAGTAGAGTAGAATAGAACTTGGGCTCTGGAGTCAGACAGCTTGAGTTCAATTCCAGTTCTACCATTGACTGTCTTCAGTGTGACCTTAGGCAAATGACTTATTTGTTCTAAATCTCAATTTCCTAATCTCTAAATTGGGTAGTTGCATGGGGCCCCTTGTAATTCCATATGAATTTTAGGATCAGCTTTTCCATTTCTTTAAAAAACAGTGTTGAGATTTTGTTAAGGATTACATTCAATTTGTGGAGCACTTTGGGTAATATTGCCATCTTAACCATATTAAGTCTTCCAATTTATGAATACAGGATGTCTTTCCATTATTCAGGTCTTCTTTCTTTCGAAATATTTTATACTTTTCCTGGTATAAGTCTTGTGCCTCCTTGGTTAAATTTGTTCCTTAGCACTTTTTGATGCGATTATAAATGGAATGATTTTCATAATTTCATTTTCTTCTGGTCATGTATAGAAATACAACTGATTTTTGTTTGTTAATCATGTATTCCACAACTTTGCTGAAATCGCTTATTAGCTCTAAGAGTTTTTTTGTATAACTTTGGGGTTTTTATATATAAGATTATGTCAGACGAATTTTAAAAAACATATATAGACCTGGTTAATACATTTACACCAGAGTTTTTAAAGTTTACGGTTTATAGCCTATCAGTGGGTTGTGAAATCATTTGAATTTGCAAGTTTTTTGAAGCTTTTGTGTGTATAACATACACATATGTGTGTGTTTGTATATAAAATATGTAAGTATACATAAACTTATTTCCTTTTCAAAAAATCTTATTGTGAATAACAGTTGAAAATTCTGAAACCCATTGCTTTATGCCATTTTTCACATTGTGTAATTGGAATAATGGGATAAGTTAGATAAAGGTGAAAGTCTTAGCAGTTGCCTTTCATTACCTTGGAAAGGATAATTCTGTATTGGAAGATGTTTTCTGGTTACAGAAATAATTAAGCAGATTATATACTCTCTGCTCACTAGTGGCTCTATGAACAACAAACATGAGATTTTTGCTTTTCATGCTTTCTGATGAATCACTTAGCTTTTTTTTGTACTGTGGAGGTTTCCTACTCAAACTCAAGATATTTTCTTGAGAATATATTTTAGGAAAGATAGTAATCTATTAATTTTTTGTATAAGATGCTTATTACAAATGAAAACTAAAAGGCATATGATGAAGTATATTATAAACTTGAAAGACATCATTTATTCATTTGATATAAATTATTAAAATATAATAAAATATATATTTCAATAATTGTGTTAATGTCAAATTTATTGACTATAGTAAAGAATTAAGGGAGAACTTACAGCTTTTTAGTGCACATGAAGTACTTTAAAACATCACTATTGTACATAGCTATAAAATTATTTTATAAGATGATAAAATTATTCCTTTGTACTAGACCCTTGACAGGATGTCTTTCCAGTCTAATAAATTTAAATGGTGTTTGATTTTTCTAAATTGCTTTGAGTGGTGTTAGATTGACCTTACCCACAAGTAGTCCTGCAGGGACTATGGCTGTGTGCAGCAAAGGACATTAGGGCTGCAGGCAGCACCAGCAGACTTACTGCCTCTGCCCTCTCTCCCCCACTTCCCTTCTACTGATGAGGCAGCCTCCCTGTGGTCTACATGTTTTCCTGACATTCTTTTGACTATATTACAAAATTCAACATGTTTTGGAATGACCCCGGGCTTCAGAACCCAACAGGACTCTGAATTCTCCTCCCTCGTGATAACTGTGTGACTGTGTGCAGAGGAGTCTCTTGATTCTTTTTAGCTTCAATTTCCTTTGCTATAAAATGGGGATAATTCAGGGTTACATTGGAGAGTAAATGATACTATGTTTATATGTGAAATATAGTACCTTACATAATTGCTCAGTAAATGGTAGCTGCTAAAATACCTGAGTTATCATCAATACTCAGTAAATGGTCGTTCCCTTTCTGCTCCCTAAAACTTTTATATATGTCCTATCATTTTCAAATAGAACCTAACTAATTCTAGTAAGCTTATCTGTGCTGTTAGGTGACTGCTAGTGGACCACCTTTCCCATAAGATTGTGTATACTTTACTGCTGGTCTTGTGGTGCATTAAGCCTTGGATGATGGGAAGTGCCTGGCAGTCTGATATGAAAATACAGGTATACTGGGTGTGTGTGTGGGGGGGGAGGGATTGTGGATTTGTTTGTTTGTTTTGAGACAGAGTCTTGTTCTGTCGCCCTGAGGAAAGTGCAGTGGTGTCCTCATAGCTCTCTGTAATCTCAAACTTCTGGGTTCAAGTGATCCTCCTACCTCAGCCTCCCGAGTAGTTAGGACTACAGGCATGCACCATCATGCCTGACTTATTTTTTCTGTTTTTGGTAAAGACAGAGTCTTGCTCTTGCTCAGGCTGGTCTTGAACTCCTGACCTCAAGCAATCCACCTGCCTCGTCCTCCCATAGTGCTAGGACTACAAGTGTCAGCGACTGCACCCAACCAGAGTGTCTGTTTTTAAGGTACCAAAACCCCCAAATAATAACCAAGCACTGTTATTTTATTTTCCTTTGCTGTAGTTATGTGCTGCTCATCTCCCAACTGAATCAGAAGCACCAAATCATTATCAGGCAGTATGCCGTGCACTATTTGCAGAAACAATGGAGCTACATACATTTCTTACCAAAATTAAGAGTGCAAAGGAGGTAAGTACTCCTGTTCTGGTATTTATTGGCATTGTGAATGATAAATCTGAATTTTCAACACTCTCCATTATTTTACAAGATTTATTACCATTCTGATGAGTGCTGAAAATCATTTAGGAAAGAAACAACTTTGGCAAAATTAAATCTATTCTTTAAAAATATCAACAATGTGAACTATTTTAAAAACAGATTTTCATACAGCTTCCTTACAAACGAGTAATAAATGCTACTGAACTGGTTTAGTCCAGTCCCATGTGACTAGCATTCCACCTTCTTTCTGCCACTCTTCTCTTTTATCCATTCGGAAACATGTTGGTACCTCTTCTAGGAAGGGACAAGGACTCAGAAAGGAGGTGACGTATCTGATCATGTACATATTTTAGAGTAGACTTGATTAAAGATTTAATGAGGGAGATTGGAATTAATATTCAAATAATCTAAAGTTGTATTTTAGCTATTTTAGTTATTATTAAATAAATCAGTGCCTATGAGTTAAAAATGTTGTGTGTCAAGTCCAAAGAAAATCATTCTAATTTATTTAAAAGATGAGTCACTATATTTTTTATATTATATAAATGGTTGTGAAGATTCAATTATTTTATAAAACAGCACAGCATCTGGCTCATGTGATTACGGAAGCTGAGAAGTCCCATGACAGGCTGTGTGCAAGCTGGAGGCCCTGGCATACCTGTAGTGTGGCTCAGGCCAAGTAAGTCCTGGAGTCCAAAGGCTGGACAACCTGAGTTCTAATGTCCAAGGGCAAGACAAGGAGTGTATCCTAGCTGCAGGAGAAAGAGAGAGACCAATTTGCCTTTCCTGTTTTTATTCTCTCTGGGCCCCCATCTGATTGGCCCACTTACATTGAGGGTGATCATCTCCACTTAGTCTCCTCAGACTCACAAACCAATCTCCTCTGGAGACACTCTAACAGATAACACCCAAAAACAATGCTTTTACCAGTTCTCTATGTATTTTTTAATCCAATCAAGTTGACACCTAAAATTAACTATCACACTATCATTTCTTTTATGACTGAAGTACAGAGTTTATCTGAAGCAATAGGCTAAAACTTTCCATGACCCACAGTCTGAGGACAAACACATGCTGGATGTGTAAATAAGGAAGGAAAAACTAATCTTGCTGCCAAAAAGACTTAATTAGCCCTGATAATAAGTAAGGGATGGATGTCTCAGCCAGATCACCCTTCAGTAATCCATTGTGCATGAGAGCTCTGAGCATTCTTCCTGTGCTCTAGCCAGGGTACTGCTTGTAGTCTGTCATTTTATCATAGGGCAATGAAAAGCTATGCCTTTTTTTGAAAAAACATCTGACAGAATTGGATCCAAGAGGAAACGGGTTAGAAAAGGTTGAACTACATTTGAAGAATAGTATCTATTCATCTACATATCATGGACTAGCTGTTCTTTTTGGACAGGGCCAGAGGCAATAGGATCTGTTTAAAAGCTTGAAAGTGAACATCTAAAAGTATGTCCTCAACTAAGGTTTATCAACTAGTGGAAAAGATTACTTGTTAAGGTTGTCATTACCTTCCCCAGCTTGTTAAGATGGAGGTTGCCTTGCCCAGAGCATTATTTTTAGGTTGTAAGTACAGTCCTATGGGGTTAGTAGAATAAATTAAATGAGCTCTTAAAAATCCTTCCAACACTGACATTCTTAGAACAATATTAATAAAGTATTTTACTACTATCCTCCAGTGAAGATTGAAAAATGTTTTTTACTCTTTTTTGTTTTTGAGACAGAGTCTCACTTTGTTGCCCAGGCTACAGTGAGTGCCATGGCGTCAGCCTACCTCACAGCAACCTCAAACTCCTGGGCTCAAGCAATTCTGCTGCCTCAGCCTCCCGAGTAGCTGGGACTACAGGCATGTGCCACCATGCCCGGCTAATTTTTTCTATATATATTAGTTGGCCAATTAATTTCTTTGTATTTATAGTAGAGACGGGGTCTCGCTCTTGCTCAGGCTAGTTTCGAACTCCTGACCTCGAGCAATCCGCCCGCCCCGGCCTCCCAGAGTGCTAGGATTATAGGCGTGAGCCACCGCGCCCGGCCAAAAATGTTTTTTACTCTTAACTAAAACTTTACTTTGCCAGATATACAAGCACATTTTCAAAGAGAGGTTTAAACATTATCAAAGTTTATTTAAATAAAAAAACTCATAGGTGGAATAAAGTTGCTGTGTGGAAGGCTGTGTGCGGTGGCTTGTGCTTATAATCCTAACACTCTAGAGGCCAAGTGGGGGAAGATTGCTTGAGGTCAGGCGTTCTAGACCAGCCTGAGCAAGAGCCAGACCCTGTCTCTGTTAAAAGTAGAAAAATTAGGTAGTCTTGGTGGTAAGTGCCTGTTTGGAACCCCTGACCTTGAGCGATCCACCCGCCTAGGCCTCCCAGAGTGCTAGGATTACAGGCATGAGCCCCCGTGCCCGGCCAAACCTGACTACTTTATAAAGCATAGTGCCTGGTTGATCGTTTGTTTATTTAAAAAGCAAATTTGTTTTTGTTCTGATCTCTTTTCTTGGTGATGATTTTCTTCTTAAATAATGAGTGAGATCCTTTAAGGTTATTCTCTGAATGATAAAGAAGATTTGGGTAGGCCTGCTGTTACATTGTCTCTTTTTTTTGAGATATAGAACATTTTTATTAATGCATGAATCCCTCAGACTGCTATTTTATAGCTACCTTGTCTCTTAAGTACAGACATTACTGTGTCTTCTAAGCAATTTGATAGCCTTGTGTGTAAGTATAGCTGGAGGGACTGTCTAAGCAATCTGTTGAGTGCATCAGGTTGTATGAAAGAAGAACCAGCTTGCCACAGGCCAGCAGTACCACCATAGCCCAGAACCCAATTGCAGGCATAGCTGGTGAGCTTGTGTAGCGGACAGTGGGCAGCTTCAAATGTAAAATTTTTATTGGAGAAAAGGAAATTATATTAATGGTAGTATCCTTTAAGCTGTCTAGGTAATTTTTTGATCATCATTCCCTAGTTTTGTTATTGTTACATAAAATTATTTATCACTTCCAAAAACTTTAACCCCTACTAGTTTCCTGTATTATATTCATACTGCTCCCAAAGTATCTTATCTTGTTTATACTGTTTAATCCTCATAACAAGCCTGTGTCTCTTACTTTGCAAATCAGTAAACTAAGGCTTAGAGAGATTAGAGGTTCACACAAAAGTTAATTCTCAGCACTGCTGATATCAGCATTTCCATCCTCCTCACAGTCTTTGATCTAGCAAAGGTGTTCCAACCTGTTTCTGCTGTTTTCCCATAAGAATGTCACGTATAGCCAGGCACAGTGGCTCATGCCCATAATTCCAGCACTTTGGGAGGCTGAGGTGGGAGGATTGCCTGAAGCCAGGAGTTCAAGACCAGGCTTGGCAACATAGTGAGACCCCATCTCTACCAAAAATTTAAAAATTAGCTGGTGTGGTGGTGCAGGCCTATAGTCCCAGCTACTCAGGAGGCTGGGGCATGAGGATCACTTTAGCCCAGGAATTTGAAGTTACAGTGAACTATGATTACATAACTGCCCAGGTGACAGAAAGGGGATCCTATCTCTTTGAGAGAGAGAGAGAGAGAGAGAGAGAGAGAGAGAGAGAGAGAGAGAGAGAGAGAAAATGAATGAATGAATGAATGAAAAGAATCTTTTAAAAATCTTTTTAAAGAATTCTTTTTTAAAAACAACTCATTTTTCATTTATTTTATAATTTAAAATATTTATATTAACACTGATTGTTTTTGAAAAGTCTCTTTATTGTTGGTCAGTCATGTTCTGCCACTCATTATTCATGTGACCTCTTTAAGTCTAATAGCCTTTGCTAGACTTCTATTTACTCATCTTTCAAAATGGCAGAGAAGCAATTAGATATGTTAAGCTTCCTTCTAGTAATAAAATTCTATGCAGAAAATAAAATTTGTTTGAGTAAATCTTTGTTCTATTCACTTAACATGCTTTTCCTCATTTTTGTATCAGTCTTAGGTAGGCAAAATATATACAGATAAACACTTAAGTGCATGCCCGGTAAAATTTGCTACCAAATTATATACTATTTTATTTTATAGGAAAGAAATTCAATGTTATAGATATATTAATACTAATCAAATTTGAGATTGCTTATAGACCTTTTGAAAACAAAGATTTAACTTTTGTAAATTGGTGAGCTGGCTGTAACTCTCAATACTACTATATTGATGTCAGTATAGACTAAAAATAAAATTTTTTAGTTTTGCAATCTAGTGGTAGAAAATTCCTATAGAGAAGAAATTCCTAATACAATAATATTAATCATGAATGAATGAACAGTGAAAATAATTATGCATTATGAAACATATGTTCATATTATTGCAGCAAGAACTGTATAAGGCATGTAAAATAGATTTTTAACGTCATAATTTCTGTTTTCTAGGAGATTATGTACTCTAAGTAATGACAATTTTCTCTTCCTTTGTACTTTCTTTCATTATATACATAAACATCACCAAACTAAGGTAGAATATATCAAACATTTTGTTCTTTGGGAGTTAAGATGTCTAATATAGTTAAGCCATCTTAGATTTCTTCAGCAGTAAGCTCTACAGGTGTGGATTGCCATTTCTCATTATCTGATTATAATGATCTTTACTCTCTTCTCAAGTGTGGCTGCACCTTTGGTGCTTAATTAGTTTCTTGTTGACATATTAAACTCCTCTTATAAATTCTGTCTTCATTGACCCATTCAGTTACAATTTTTCGCTCACATCCTTTGTGCCTCAGCTAGAAGGATATCTCAGATCACCCCCCACACCTTTATATATTTAGTACTCACTGCCTTTTTTTAAAAATCACATTACCTTATTATTTCCTTTCTAGCAGCCATCAGAGTTTATAGTTGTTTTGCTTGTCTCTTATTCATTGATGTCTGCCACTACAATATAATCTCATTGAGGGCTGAGACCTTTTTTCCCTAATTCACTGTTATATCTCAGTGTAGTGGTGACTCTG